CGGGGGGGGGGGGGGGAGGAGGTTAACAGAAGACAAATTTATGTGGAGTGGTCGTGAGAAAACTAATTGAAATTTCCAGTGTGCCAGTTCACACTGTCCATGGAGAATGGGCCACATGGGCTACTTAACCAGGAGCAGTAAATGTTTGGGGTTTATTTATTGAGGGGTGGTCTTGTTCTTTGTATACAAGTTGAAAGAAAACATCTTATACATAATTACTGTTTGGTCCTCTTATCATCAGGGCAATTTTAACCCAGTGTCTGAGGAACGGAACAAAGTCCAAGATTGTCTGTACCTCTTCGAGATGGACAGCAGCGTAGCCTGTTCACCAGAGGTTTCCCACCTCAGTGTGGGCTCTATCTTACTGGTCATGTGAGTACTTTCTGCCTCTTCAGTACATGTGTTTTACAGACACGAAAAGTAACAGACCAGACAAGGTGAAAGGAATTAAGCTGGGGGGTGTGGCTTGGTGGCAGAGTACTTGATCAGTATGTATGAGGTCCTAGGTTTAATCCCTGGCAGTGGCAAAAAACAAAACAAGGAAAAAAGCAAAACTTTCTGAAGACAATCTTACTATTGTTGCTGTAGCTGGCCTCAAACTCAGAAGCATCACCTACCTAATGGTGCGGGCCTGACCAGACCTGGCTTTTTAAAATTTAAAGAAATTAAGTGCTTAGTCCCAGTAAATCTTTATATTTGGAGGTGCTCCCCCCCCCACCCCTTAATGAGACAGAGTCTCACTTTGTAGCTCTGGCTGGCCTGGACTGGAATTCACAATGTAGACTAAAGTGGCCTCAAACTCCCCTCCCCTCAGGATCCCCTAGCCTCTGCCTCCAGAGTGCCAGGACTAAAGATGTATGTACACCACATACTTGGCTTATGTTTTTCCCAGGAAGGCTGGAGTTTTTAGTACCGCCTTATTACATCAGTAGAACTTTGAAGAAATCGAATAGAATCATGTTTAATGGTGATTTCTGGCAATTAGAATCACATACCAAGTGTGTGGTCCCACTCCTGAACCCTCCTACCCCCCTACCCCCAGGGTGTTTGTCAGATTGGCAGTGTTCTGGCAGGTTTTCTAAGGAGTACCAGCCCTTGTGTTTGTTTTCATAGAGTACAGCTTAGGAAACAGAGAATATTGAATATAAAGGTTGGCCTTGGCCTTCTAAGTAGCTATTATACTATTGTACATTTGTGGTTGCCACTTCAAGACTGATACATTTTAAGTGTGTGTCCTTTGCTCTCCAGATTTGTTTCATTGGTTGCTGTCTACATTATTGGGGGTTTCTTATACCAGCGACTGGTGGTGGGAGCCAAGGGAATGGAGCAGTTCCCCCATTTGGCCTTCTGGCAAGATCTTGGCAACCTGGTAGCTGTAAGTAGCAGTTAGTTTGGACTAAGCCTTGGATTTCGGGTTCTCTGTGTCACAGTCTGAGACCATGTGATCTGTCTCACTCCATAGAGACTATCTGTCCTTTGCTTTTCGACTCACAGGATGGTTGTGACTTTGTGTGCCGCTCCAAACCCCGCAACGTGCCTGCTGCCTATCGTGGAGTTGGGGATGACCAGCTGGGGGAAGAGTCAGAAGAAAGGGATGACCATTTGCTACCAATGTGATTGCACTTTTACTGTCCAGCCAGCTCTTTATTCCCCACACCAAAGCATACACAGCCAGACTTCTCAAGCCGCCTCTTCTCATCTCTCACCTTGCCGTTAATACTCTTGCTTTCCAGTTGGCTTTTGATTTGACCCTAAACTGCCTCCCTTTGCTCATATTGTTTCTCCTCTGCACAAGTACAGTGGAAAGTAGACATAGGGTCTTCGGGGCTGACTCTTGTGCCGTCAGGAAGAGCAAGGACCGCTAAATGGGCAGAAAGCCACGAGCCCTGTCTAAATATTTTCACAAGTTGAGACACTGGATTTCTTTAATTAAAAAAAAAAAAAGCTAAGATTACTTGTACCTTAATTGCTTCCTGTTGTCTCTGTCCCTAAAGCAGTCTCCCTGAGGATCTGAGTGTGACTGCATAGAGTTGCTTTGCAGTGCTTACCTGGCTGTAGCCCAAACACTGCCATTTGCCTCGAGCCTGGAGTGAGTCACTGAAATGCCCCTTGTATGGGATTAGGGCAGGAAAAAAATGTGAAATTCCCCAGCTGCAGGATTCTAAGGCACCACCTAAGGTGTTTTCCGATCTTTCTGTGACTTGATAGCTAGAATTGGGCTCCAAGCTGTGGTTTTAAAGCCATATGTAGCCCAAATGTCTAATCAAGCAGTCCTACCCTAAAGGAAATAGACCTGTGTTCCTGAGGCCCCAGAGCTTGTGTGCAGGAAAAGCTGGTAAACCTGCTCTTGCTCATTTTGCTCTACTAGTACTTCTCAACTTGTGTTGCACTTTTCTCACAAGTCTGTAGTTTGGCTTTTTATATTTCTCCCAATCTTATAGAAAGGGAATGGAAGCAGAAGTGGACATGGGTCTGCAGTTCTCTGCTCCGGGTAGGGAAGACTGCTGCTCCTGTTCCTCCTGCTGGCTCAGGGAAGTGTCTTACCCACGTACCTATGAGAAAAGGGTTTAGCCTCTCCCACTTCCTTCTGTTTAGGCCATGTGCCAGAATCACAGGCTGATCTTCCTGTAATAGTGAACTCCTAGGCCAGTAAGTAACAACACATCTGAACACAGGAGATGTGGAAAAGGCAGGGCCATTTGTTACCTTTAGAGAAGGACATGAAATGATGTCATTCTGACTTCTCCGTACCCTTGTCAATGGTAGTGGGATTTTTTGTTTTCTTTCTATACAGGAAAATTAATGTTATTTTTTAAAAAGGCATCTCATTTGTTGTTTGCATAGTTCCCCAGTGTTTTAAATGAAATAATACACCACTTTTTGTACAAAAACATAATAATTAAAAAAAACATACAAAACATGCTGGCTTTGTCATTTGTGTTAAGGAGAATTAAAGAGTGGAATGAAGTAAGACAATGGAGACCAACTTTCAGCCTTTTACTGAGGAAGAAAAAATATTTAATATTTTGTTTGTTGTATAAGGAATAGTGCCTAAGGCAGGTGCTTACAATCCTGACCTTAGCCCCACACACTCCTGTTTTGTAAAGCTATAGGAAAGAGCAGAGTTGGGACAGAAAAGAAAGGGTTGAAGATAACAAATCAGAAGGGAGCGGAGATGCAGAAATAATGACAACAGCCACACGTGTGTCAAACACCTTTAGTCCCTGCAGCAAATCAGATACCAACCAAGTGTCTACACTGGCTGGTGACCCTGCCATGGATGCAGGAAGAAATATTCAGTACTAAGGGTAGAAAATGATAACAGAAAACTGAGCTACAGCTACAATGAGACAATCCAGAGAAGGAGAGTATCAGGTTTTTCTACTTGTGTCACACAAGCTAGGAAAACTGACCTCTCCCATGGGGAGGGAAACCTACATGTCACCCATTTCCTTGCCTTACCATACAAGACATTCTTCCTCTTGGAGAAGTGAGGCCCTGGCTAGTCACTCCACTCAGGGATAAGGTTGAGCTGTCCTAGTGTCTAGTCTGCCTGCTTGAAAACTGGATTAGGGTAGGTGTGAATAGTGAGAATGGTTGTGTGTGTGTGTGTGTGTGTGTGTGTGTGTGTGTGTGTGTGTGTGTGTGTGTCCGCGTGCGCGTTCGCACGCACATGCGCACGCGTGTTTTCATAGACATTAATTCAATAGTCCTTTTATTAAATTAGATTTTTGGGTTCGGGCTGGATTGGGTTTAAAGTCTTATATTGCAATCCAGGCTGGCCTTAGATTCACAACAGTCCTTTACTTCTGCTTCCTAAGGGCTGGGATAGTAGGTGCGTCCTGCCGTGCCCACCCACCCTTCCTCAAAGTTTCTGAGATGAAAAG